AAATTTATTTATTTATTTTAAAAAATATTTTATTTGTTTTTTTATTTTATGTGTATGAGTGTATTGGATACATGTATGTGAGTGCACCCATGTCATGCAATGCTGTGGAGGTCAGAGGAGAGCTTCGGACTCCCCCCACCCCCGGACTGGAGTTAAGGATGGTTCATAGCTGCCATGCAGGTGCTATGAATTGAACCCGGGTCCTCTGCAAGAGCAGTCAGTGCTCTTAACTGCTGTAAGTACACCTGTGTTGTGCAATGCCTGTGGAGGTCAGAAGAGGGTGTAGAATCCCATGGAACTGGAGTTACAGATTGTTGTTGGCCATCTTGTGGGTGCTGGGAACTGTACCCAGGTCTTCTGCAAGAGAAGCCAATGCTCTTAATTACTGAGCCATCTCTCCAGCCCAGCCCTTATACTATAATTTCTTAAATCTTATTTCTGTAATAGGAAAAAAACGCTGAGAGAAAATACATGTGGCTTTTTACTTGTAGGACTAATGATAGTTTTTAACTTCTGTCAATTAAAAATACAACTTCAATAAACTAGAAAAAGATATATTTAGCATATATACAGTCTTCCAAACCAATGTCCAACATTATCATTAATGCCAAAATACCAGAAGAATAAGGAAAACAAAGATGCTTTAATCAAGATCATCCTGGAAATTCTAAACTAGTGTTTCTCCGAGTTATTTGATGAAAAACTGCTAATATTGCATGGAGCAAGCTTTGGGAATTATTCTGGCCTAATTGGTAAGGCAAGAAATGAAATTTAAAAGGAGGTTTACTAATTATTTGAAATAAGCTAATATTTATGAATGAGAACAATTTGTCTACACAACCCAAGAGAATCTGTTAAAGCATGATTAGAAAAAAAATGAAGTCCACAAGAGAGTTGGTTACAAGATATATATCAAGAGGCAACTTTCTCAAATTCCAGCAAAAATTAATTAGAAAATATAGTGGGATAAAGCAGATCTCTTGAAGTAACAGCAAGCCAAAACTTTCCTGTCTCCATAAAGTCCATTTGAATAGAACAAAGACAGTAGGGTTCCTGAGTGGTGAACCTCAGTATTGTGCTAGTGGAAGTTCTAGCCAAACCAATTTGTGAGCTTACTGTAATTCCAATAGAAATTTCAGTGATTTTTAAAATACTTTGAAAAATGATTCTAGATCTCAGCTAAGAGAATGATCATGAAGTTAAATAAGAAGTTTTAGAAAAATATGAATTCATTTGTGTGTTTGCTGGGGGCAAAGAGAACTTTCACCAGTGGAGAGTACAGTGCAGACAAACTCAAAATCTGTTACTGGTGGCAGAAGTAGAAAGGCAGCGTCAAATTCTGAAGAGTTTCACAAAAGCATTAGGTGTAAAAGGCATTTTTAAAATGTACTTTTGAGATAGTGTCTTACTATGTAATAGCCTAGGCCAGCCTTTAACTAGTTATCTTGCCGCCTCAGCCTCCAAAGTACTGCGGTCACAGACCTATACCACCAACAACCATGCCTGATAAAGATAGGCATTTGTTCTGAGAAAATAATTGGCGATATACACAAGAAATATATACATGTTTATTTTTAAATAAGATGATGGGAACATTTGAAACAATTTATTCAGTGCTAGAAGATTGGAAGTTTTTGGCATTTGGAAGGCCATATGGTGCTTACCTCCATATTTTAATGACAGAGATCTGTTCACATATGTGAAAATGAAAACATAGATTGAAATAAAGTGCAAACAGATTTTAAAACCTACTCCTGTT